CCCCGGCAGGGGGGCCCCCCCGGGGGGGCCCGGCGGGGCCCCCGGCCCCCCGCCGGTGGCCCCCGCCGGCGGCCCCCGCCGGCGGCCCCCGGCCCCCGCCGGGGCCCCCCGCCCCCCCGGCGGCCCCGCAGGCCCCCCCCGCCGGGCCCCACCCCCCTCGCCTCCCTCGCGGTGGAGCGTCCGGCCACCATCGCAATCGGTAGAGATGCAATCTCTCCTTGTGTGCTTGGCGCGAAGGCCGCGCGCTCTTGTAACCGTCATATCGATACCAGCGTCGTATCGATACCAGCATGGTTGAGAACGAGTTACGCGATTCACCGGCTTCCTCGCCTCCAAAGTCGGCAACGCAAGCGGCCGGCGAGGGTGGCGAGGGTGGCGGCACGGGCTCCGATTCCGAATCCGAGGATCTTCTCGCGGCTGCTTGTCGCCAGCTTGTCGCACGCCGCCTCCGTCTGCGCCTCGCGAGCAGGCGGACGCGGCCCCAAAGCCGTCTTCCGCCGAGTGCCCTGCCTGCAAGGGGAGGCACAGGCCGCACACGTGCGGCTCGCATGGCAAGGCCGCCGTTGAGGCGCGCGTCGCTGTCCGCGCCGCTGCCCGCGCCGCGGGCCCGACCGATGCCGGTGCTGGGCGTGCGTCTGCCACCTTAAAGCGCTCCCGTCCGGCGGTGGTGGGGCAGCGCGGGCCGATTCTGGACTTTCGGCAGCAGAAAGCGCTGACGACCAAGCTCGAACAGGTCCGCGCGAGCCTCGCGCAAGTGTACAAGTCAAGCATCTATGTGCATCCCCATTTCCGAGCCAATTGCCATCTTGAGGACGACGACAAGGTCCGCGAGCACTTCATCATGAGCAACGCCATGATCAAGTCGGTGTGCGCTGGAATGTCGCAATCGACAAAGGAGCTGGCCGGTGTTCCCCTGAACAAGGTCGCGCTCATGGACTGCATGTGGTGGGGCGAGTCGAAAGTCTACAATTGCTGCTCTCGCTCGGTGGGCGGAGAGCACGTGGGCGAGCTGGGCGACGCGGTCCTCGCCACGGTCAAGGGCTTTGTCACCTCGCACTGAACACGCCGAGCGCGCAGCCATCAAAAGCCGTGTGCCTCCTAGGCATGCCTCGGGAGAGAGAGGGGCGTGCGTTGAGAGCGGGGCGCGCGTTTGTATGCAGTATGGGTGTGGTTAGGAGCATTGAGTCTGTTCGGGAGTTTGTATGGATCAACTATGAGCGACGCCCATCGCCCGCCCAGGCCGAGCTCAGGCCCCAGCGCCCGAAAAGTCAAAGAGAAGAAGCGAAACATTTAGCATTTTCAATCTACACGACCGGGCACCGCGCCCCGTGTCGTGGGAAGAAGAAACTGTGTTCACCACGCAGTCCCCGCCCAGCAGTCTCGCCCTGCAGTCGCCCAGTCCCCGCCCAGTCCTTCCAAGAAAAGAAAACATCTCCGAAAAAGAACCGGAGCGGTACGCGCGCAAGTACTGGCCTGTGGCGCGCCCAGCCCCGTCGTCGTCCGCGTGCCGCTCGGCACGCCATGCTCCGAACAATTCGCGGACTCGGCCGCGGCGCTTTTGCGGCGGCAACGTCGTTGACATTGCGCTCGGATGCCTCCGGCTGCACTGGCAATGGGAATGAAACTTTGCCTTCAACGCCACATGCAGTGGCGGCCTTGCGCGATTCGCAGGGGGAGGCGGGTCTCTGTTCGGCCTTCCCCGCGAGCATGCAGGCGAACGTGCAGTCGATTGCATCGTCGCGCGCCGAGACTGTCATGGAGAGGCTCTCCTCGCCGCCTCGTTCGCCACCCAGCCGCCCCCTTCTTCGCCATGCGTGGGAGTGCGCGATTTGGATGTGCGGCGCGAGAGCGCGCGCCGCGCGCGCAAGTATACAAAGGACGCGGTGTATGCGTGTCGGGCACGGTCATTTTCCTGTCATCTCCCACTTTCATTTTGCACGCGTGCGTGGGAGTGCGCGATTTGGATGTGCGCAGAGTGCATGTATGTACAGAAATGTTACAATCCGCTGAGCCGAGACAAACACACACACCTCCTCTCCGTCTGTGCTCTCTCTCCATACATCGCGATTACACCATCGCTCTCGGCGCATTGCCTACTCTCACGCCACCGACCATGTGCGGCCGTGCAGCAGTGGCAGCCAGACAAGCCGCCACCAAGCACTTCACGTGAGGGTGGGGGGGCCGCAACCACCGAGCCCCGCCGCGGCGCGGACGGCGTCGGCGCCACCCACTCTCGTCGGCGCACACGTGCCCAAACGGCTGACGCAGGGCGGACCGCTGGCAGCTCCTCCACCTCTGCTCCTACCCGCGGGCCACGGCCCTGCTCGGCGACTCACGCCGCCGCCGAGACAGCGCCGGCGGCGCCGCCACCGGAGCCGTCGCCGTCACCGCTTGTTCTGCGCCTCTCAGAGGTGACGCAGCCCTGGAGCTCGCGGCGCGATATGGTCACTGCCCGCAGTGCGCCCGCCCTCTGCTCCGCAGAACATACACGTGCAGCGGCTGCGCGCGTGAACGGTTTTGCTCAAAGCGATGCCAGCGCGCAGGGTGGTGGTGGCACGGGCCTTTCTGCTACGGGCCAGGGGCGGCGCGAGCTGCGTCAAAGTTGCAGGAGGCATGGCGCACTTCCCGGCGCCATAGCAGCCGCATGGACGAGGTCGACTGAGCTGGCCCTGTGGTGGCTGGTGGCGCGCGCCTAATCACTAGCTCGCTCGCGCCTTTCTGCCAGGGCGTGGCTGTCCTGGCAGTGGTGAGGAAGTGGCGGAGGGGAGAGCGCGCGAGTGCGAGTGCCGGTGTGTGGCAGGCAGATTGTCGTGCGGTGGTGTGTGGCACCGAGTGTGTCGGGGCATCAGGTGCCTCAAGCAAAAAGGTAGCGGCCTGAGAGGGAATCTGTGTGCGAGACGCGTGGCAGCGC